ACAGTCCTGTGGCTGCTGTTCAGTTCTTGCAGGTCTCCATCAGAATTTGGGGTGTGAAGCTCCTGGAGCAGTGGTGGCTAAGCCTGACCCTGCGTCCTTGCAGTGATGGGTGTGCAGAGGGCTGTGTTTTGGTGCATGTGGTCTGTGCCACACCTGAACCACCAAAGCTTCCCCCAGGGAATAATTTCATAGAGCCATACCTGTGTGTTGGAAGGCAGACAGATCTGTAAGAGCTTTCCCACATGTTCACAGCAGCTGCCCAGGGATTGCAGCACAGCTGGGGACCTGGGTTAATCTCTGCAGCTTCTATAGCCTGGGTCTCACCCCGCTCTCTTACTGTAAGTCTGGTATCATGCTTATACTAACTTCTTTAAAAGCCATGCCAGCATCTGGATTTTCTCGTGGGAGGATCAGATCCTGGTGGCCGTTTGTTGGTTTAAAAGCCCAGCCCCGGCAGCACTTGAGGCCAGCTCTGCAAGGAAGCAAAGGCATGGTGGTGAGGAGACCAATGCCAGGGCCAGACAGTTTCACTCTATGCAAGATGCTTTACTACATCTGCTTTATTTCATATTTCACTTCTAGCTGCTTTTCTTTTGCTTTTTAACACAGTGAGCTCTTGAGAGCTCTTCTTTGAGATTGCTGGGGATGCTTAACATGCCTGTGATTTCAGGGACACCAGTTTCTGAGGTGTGCTTCTCTAGGAAAAGAGACTTACAGCAATAATATTGGTGTGTTTATTTTCTACAGGGTTGGTAGAGCCTAGTGTTCTCTTTTTTTCTGGCATCTAGTTATTCCAGCATATTTTAGTGGTATCAATTCCCAACAGTAAGCAATATAAAGGGGTAACCTTTGTGTCTCTGGGAATAATGAGGCAAAGACATGGATCGCTCTCTTTCTGCACAGACAGCAAGTGGCAGCCTTGCTAACATGCTTCCACGTAATTACTTGTGTAGTTTAGATAATTTTGGTAGATACTTATGCAATGTATTTGATTTTACTCACTGTTTTGCTGTGGAAGGAGCACAGGAAATGTTTACCAGGCAGGCATGCCTAGGTTGCTCTCTCATTTCTTTTTCATATCAGCAAAACATAAACCCACAGCTTGCTGACAGTGAAACCATATGTTTCCTCTTTTTGACAAATCAGTTTTGCAATACAGATAATCCTGGCTGTACACGAGAAGAGGTATTTTGAATTATTTTAATTTTTATGGTACTCTCTATTTTTCACTGCCTGGAAATTCTGTATGTGTTTATTTCTGAACCCAGAGGTTGGGTGCATTAAGAGTTTATGGAGAACACTATGCTTTAGTGTCTGTCTTACTTTGAGGACAGTTATTTGTCATATGCAATAACCTGTTTGTTGTAGCCAGTGCAATTCTGCACTGCCAGACAGCAGCATCAGATTCAGAGATTTTCTGAACACTGGATGTCCTCTCAGCATGAGGCCAAGCTCAGAATTGCGTTTGTATAAATCAGCTCCTGCTCTACAAAAAGCTGCAGAAATAGCTGCAGAAACTGGAATCATAGAACTGTAGACAGGAGGTTTTGGGTTGGAAGGAACCTTAAAGCCCATCCAGTGCCACCCCTGCCATGGCAGGGACACCTTCAGCTGGGACACTATCCCAGGCTGCTCCAAGCCCCAATGTCCAACCTGGCCTTGGACACTGCCAGGGATCCAGGGGCAGCCACAGCTGCTCTGGGCACCCTGTGCCAGGGCCTGCCCACCCTGACAGCCAGGAATTTCTTTCCAATATCCCATCTAAATCTACCCTGTTTCAGCCATTCCTCCTTGTCCTGTCCCTGCAGGCCCTTTTCTAAAGCCCCCCTCCAGCTCTCTTGTAGGCCCTTTAGCCACTGCAAGGGGCTCTTAAGTTCTCCCCTGAGCCTTCTCCAGGCTGAACAATGCCACTGCTTCCACCCTGTCTCCAGAGCAGAGGGCCTCCAGCTCTCTAATTAGGGGATTTATTCAATTTTACAGTTTTTCATTTTTACATTTCTGGGTGCCAGTTATGCAAACCAAGACCTGAACATAACATTTTCTAGATATTTATAAAAGAAATACAAATTTAAATGTTAATCTTGTCAGCACAAATGTTTGTGTTTTACCAGGCAGCAATGCAGCCTCAGACACCAGTCTCAGTTGAAAACAAAAATATAATTAATTCTAACAATAAAAACAATAATAAAATTCTTAATTGTAGTAGATCTAGTCTGATAAACATGCCTGAAGAGTATTCAAAAAAGAAGTCTACATGGAACATCTGCTTATTTAAGTATAAGGACGGAAGCTTACTTAAACATGATTCTTTGGAGATGTAAGGGTAAAATTAGCCCAGCAGAAAAGTGAATGCCATGGCTAACTACAAAAACATTACAGGTGAAAGAAGTGAAGGACACTAGAGCTTGCAGGAAAGTTTTCCAAAAGCATTTTTAGAAGATAATTGATGATTAAAATTAGGGCAAATTTTATGCAGAGAAGCTGAATCTCAGCTTGGTTGAAATTTCAAAAGGTCATTCTGGCAAAGTTCCATCTGGGCATTTCAATAAATGCATTTGTGAAAAGCAAAAAGCAGTGACACATTTAAGTGTTTGGCTTTAGTGGGAAGAAGTGGTATTGAAAGTTCTTAAAAGAAGAACAGCATTTCTCCTCTGCAGAAGTGCAGGTACATGAAGTTGTTGATGAACTTTCAGCTCAGGTACAGAAGGTTTTGGATGTGTAACTCTCATTGAGAGGCACCTCTGTAGTTCCAGCCCCAAATACATTCATATGAGAATGATCATCTGGGCATGATCCATGATGCTGTTGCAGCCCAGGGCAAAGCATGGAAATACCCACATTTTCAGGGAATGCTGGCTAGTAGACATTTCTGTAGAGCTCAAGTGGAGCAAAAATAATTTAAAGCCCACAGCTGAGGAATGGTGCTGACAAGGTCACTGCCATTCAGAGGTTTGATGTCTTGGCAGACACCATCTTGGGCAAGGACAGGGCAGGGAAGTTTCAAAACACTCCAGCAGCTACAGCTGCACTGTGTTACTCGGGATGGTCAGTGCTGGATTAAATGAAATATGTCTTGAAAGAAAGGATCCAGTGCCAAATTATTTGTTCTTTGGAGAACAAAGAGTGAACAATGAGTCCAGGTAAACTGGCAGGTATACTGAATGCCTCTGCTGAGGCTGCATGTTGTGGCCCAGCAGGTGTGCATCAAGTCCAATTCAGCTCCAATTACTTTTTGCATCTTGTGCAGCTACAAGAGTCACCAATGTGAACTCTAAGAAATATGGACTGATCTCTAAAAATAGCCTTGAAATTGTAAAATGAGAAAAAAAACCAAAACCAAACAATTATATGTAAAATCTTTATTTTACAGATTAGGACAATATTTTCTCATGGTAAACCACAGAGTGATTAAAATAAAAAGAAAAGCCCAAACTCGTAACACTCATTTGGAGTGAGAAGGAAAATTGTCCAACTCATCCTGTATGCTCCAGGAATGGGATGTGGGCAGGAAGAGGTGAAGAGAAATCAGTCCTACAGAAAATATTTGCTCTCATTGAGGCCGATTTCTGCCGTAGTAAGAGGCTGAAAGAAGTGGCAAAACAAACAGAAATAATCAGCATGGAATTAAAGAGCTATGGTTTTAAAAGCTAGTGTTTGCTGCATATTTACTCAGTAGATTAGCCTAGTAATTGTCACTGGGACTTCTGTTTGGTCTTTTGCTGAGATTCCTTTGGGTTTTTTTTCCAGGGACAGGGAATTTAAGAGCATGAATTGGAGATAGATAGGTGGGACACCTGCCTGCTGTGGTATGATTTAGGGGCTTAATGACAATAATGACATGGGGGGAGTTTTAGCATTCAAAATAAAATGCATTTGCTAACAACATGTGGTTCTGTCAGGATGTTCTCAGGGAGGCTGTAATTTCTTTTTGCCTGTAGACGTGCTTTTAATATTTTTGTATGTGTCATCATAGTGCTTGCAGCACTATGCCTCTGAGTTTTCTCAAGTCTTTGGAAAGCCAGTGAAAAATAGGGAACTTGGGTTCTAATGCAGAAGCAGTGCTGGTATTCTGTAAATGTTAAAAATATCCGAGTTTCTAGATTCTGTCAAAGCACAGACCCAGAAAAGTATTCTGTACAGACCCAGAAAAAGTATTTGTTACCTTTGAAGTTATCTAGATGTTATATGGTTTTTTAATCATCTCTCATTGAAAGTTTTGTTTAAAATTACTGTGAACAAGGAATGTTGTGACAATAAAATTTAGTGTATGAAGTTAATGGCTAAAATTAGGTGGCCAAGAGGAGAACTGCTCCATAGCTCAGAGAGCAGCTGTATAAACAACAAAGCAATAGAAAAGCGGAATGAACAAAAATGTATTAAAAATTAATGATTTACTGAAAAGCAGAGTTTGTAACTCAAAAAGTGAGATAAGTTATATGTATATGTCTTTCTATGCTCTTCCCTGTGGTTTTGACTCTGCTGACCCCTTTCAGCCAAGCCAAACAGACATGCAGTGCTTGTAAAGATAAGAAGTTTCAGTCAGATCATGCCAAGATGCTACCAAGTAGGCTGAACTGCATGATCAGTCCAGTAGATCTTGGAAATCTGTGTGCAGGAAGACACGTAATGAATACTCCCAGCCAGCCTGAGTACTAAATTAATCAGAATCTAACAATACAGGGATCCATAGGGGACCGTGCCACTCAGAAATTACTTTTTATTAGTGTTTTTAGTGTTCAACATGTTCCAGTCTGAGCAGATAATGTCACAACATCAGTTGCTTTGTGCTGGGGATGAGGGCAGGGGAGCAGTTGAATGGCACTGATGGAGGGTAGCCGTGGGCTGATGTTTGGCAGAGCAGCCAGCATTGGCCGCCCCGAGGTCTGGTATTTGTTTTGACCATTAACTGTGACTGATTTACAGTCTGGTGTCAATGAAACCTCAGTGGAAGGCTTCGCTGTTGGCAGCGGCGCTGCATTGTGTCTGTGCTTGCTCTGCAGGGCAGTGCAGCCACCTCCTCTCGCCGCAGCTCGGCTCGCTGCAGGTCCTTCATGGCAACGGCACCGAGGTGGGAACAGTGGTCACCTTCCAGTGCTCTGCCGAGCACCAGCTGGAGGGAGCGGCCATCGTCACCTGTGTTTGGGAAGGGAACAGCACGCAGTGGACAGCCGGAGTGCCCTCCTGCAAGCGTAAGGTTCTTCCCAAACCGTACCCCTCCCTCTGGGATGCAGTGCGTTCCTTTTGCCCTGCCTATCCTGCAATGTTAGGATTCTTCCTAGATACCTGTGCAAAGAAAAATACAAATTCAATTTTCTTCAAAGTTGCCCCACTGATGGTAATTCCACTCCATATATGTTCTGACATGCCATTATCATGACACACAGAAAAGACTCTGTTGGATTCGTCCCTGATCTTATGTCACTGGTAGCACCTGGAATAACTGTACCTCTAGCTAAAAGCTGTATGCTTCTTTAGAGAATGTATGGGTGACTTGGTTTAGAGACAAATTTAGGAGAAAAACACTCTGGAATGAGTGTTTCCTCTGAAAAATAGGGTTCCAACAATCCCTTTCCACTAATAAGAAATTAATACTAGTGGCTGAAAGTGAAAAAAACCAACCGTTTATTGACAAACAGATTGCCCACACGGCACGGGAGAAAAAGTAAATAAATGCTAGATATTGAACTGTCAGACCTTAACACACACACCCTCCTGCCACGGAAAAAAAAAAAAAAACCAACAAAATGCCAGAGCAAGATAAAAACCCACAATGGCCAGCAGGTGGGTGGGGAGAAAGATGACACCAGCTCCTGTCTCAGAGAAAAAACCAAAGGGTTCAGGCAGCAGCTGGCACAAACAGATGGGAACCTGGTGAATCTCTGTTGTTGGTCCCCTGGTGAAGCAGGTGTGCTTTCCCTGCCCGGCTCGGGCTTTTTCCCGGGTCTGGGGCCAAAAAAGAGCAGCCCCTCCCTCCAGCCGGGCCCAGCCAATTTCTTCTCCTGGCACTTGTTCTCACTGATCTTGGATCAAAACCAAACTGTCCAATTCACCTCGAAAAGCAGCTGAAGGATTGCTGCTGCAGCCTCTCCAAGCCCAAAAAAAGCAAAGAAAAAAACCAAACAAATTTCTGCCTGGGATAACAAAAAAACCCCAAACTAGCCAAGCAAAACCCAGACTGCACCACACTACCGGATGCTGGGGCAGTGAGGCTTTGAAAAAGCCCAGCAAAGGGCCCCAGTGCTCCCCCTTCCCTCGGACCCATGTTAAAGACACAGCATTCATATTGGGGCATAAAGCAGAGAATCAGGGAATAGACCATCATCATAAATCACCCCAACACTATGGGAATGACCAACTGATGTGCAAACATATTTGCGGACTTTTTATCTCCTGGCAGTCTTTTCCGACAATGTATTTGCTGTAAAAGAAGCACAGTGATATTTTTTAACAAGTCTTGGTTGTTGCAGCTGCACGGGAAATTTACCATATAGATAAATAGTGTCCGAATGACAACAGCATTAACTATCTTTTAGCTGCGTTTCTGCTTATTTATTCTAAGGTTGCTAATAGTTTGACCAGAAGTAGATCCAAGGAAAACTTGGTACCTCTGAGCTTTGAGGTGCCTCAGACCTTGTATAATTTCAAATCCCCAGTGGATACATTGCTCTTACAGACACTTAGTACTCTCTCCCACACTCAGCTATTCTTACCTCTTCTTTGGAGATCCCATAAAAGAAAAAATGAGAGAAATCATTCCCCCAATTCCCCCAGAGGCTGCAGAAATATAATGCTTTGTGTGGAGGTCAGCTGAACCATTTGTGATGCTGGTCATTGTGACACTGGGAGAACTAGCTGAGTTTTGAAGCAAGACATGCTTACTGCTCCAAGTGAGTTGGCAGAGATCTGCATTAGCTGTGCCACATCACATTCCTACTCCTCCTTTTGTCTGGATGACTCGCTTCCAGCATCAGATCCTTGTGAACACTCAGCCCTGCACATCACTTCTTCCATCCCGTATCCTTCCCCAAACAGAGGAAGACCTGTTTGCTGCTTGCCAAAGAGGATGTAATTACATGGAACTGTCCTTGCTCTAAACGGCCTCTTTAATCCCATTTACCTGTGTTAGTATTCGTTTCTGTAGCTTCAGTCCTTGTTAATAAAGAGTTTGCAGCTCATCTGCAGACTTGTGCTTTTAAGCTACTGCAATGCTAAGGGCACTGTGTTTAATTAATTGCAGTGGTGAAATGCTTGTGAACAATTCATTAGTAACTTATAAACATGAGATTTTTACATAGTCCAGTTTGAGGCTTGCATAGGTCAAAGCTGAAGCCAAGATTCTCTGGTATCTTGACACATAGTAATGTGGAAGTCCTCACTGAGCAGAAGTGTGAAGCCAGCAGGCTTCAGCATGGTTTAATGAAAATGTGAAAGATAAATTTATGGTCTGATCTTAGAAACAATTCTGTGTTTGCTTTGTTGCAGCCATATCAAAATACGAGACTTTTGGCTTTAAGGTCGCAGTAATTGCCTCCATTGTGAGCTGTGCTGTCATTCTGCTGATGTCCATGGCTTTCTTAACTTGCTGTCTGATCAAATGTGCAAAGAAAAGTGAGAGGAGAAGAACTCAAAGGTATGTCAAGATGACAGTTTTAATAACTGTGTAAGAGTGTACATCATATGGACCCCATTGCTGTGATAACAAGTGCTTCAAAGGATTTGCTGCTTGCAGCACTGCAATGATGTTAATTACTTGAAATCCTTAATTTGTAGGTCAGGCTTTAGGTGTAGAAGGACTTGGAATTCCAGAGTACTTAGATACCTGATGCCTGTTAGTAACAGATAACCTCAACAGGCCTAGGCAGATCTGGATTTACCCAGGATTATGCAGAAGCTGAACACACAAGTCTTATTTTCTGGCACAGCATTTCTCTTCTCAAGTTATTGAAGATTGGCAATGTTTCCCCTTCTTCTCTATTTCTTTCCTTTTTCCCTTTCTTTCTTTGAAAACTGCTGGGAAATGGAATCTCCCTGTGTCAGAGCCATCCAAGGCCTCACCATCTGCTGAGCATCCTCAAAGCTGTCCCAGCATAGGGCTGGAAGAACAGAGGATTTTGTCTTCTGGCTTGGAGCACAAATTGGTGGATTATAAACAGGAATAGGAAAAAGTCAAATTTTCAATCAAGTTCATTATAAAAACTCAGTGTGGATAGTGTCAGCAGGAGCGTATTTGCCTGTAGGCTGGAGCCAGGCTACTGGTGCTCACGAGAGCACCCACCTACAGTCACCCCTGCAGAAAGCTTTCCACAGGAACTTGGTTTACCTCTCACTTTTCTTGCTGGTTACTCCCACCAGGCCCTCCAGTGGAGTGGAGGGAGACTGGGGAAGACAGTAGTGAAGGGTTCTATGCTGAGCTGTGATTTATCTGAAGCTGTGTGGGAACCAGCTGAAGGGGGAACTTCTGTCATTTGAAATCCAAGTGTAGCCAAAATAGAGATTTTCTGTTTCTCTTAAAAGACTTTTTTGTGTCAAAAAATGAAAGTCCTTAGTGTCAGTCATAATATTCAGGTTTTTACTGGTAGCATGAAATAAATTACTTTGAAATGAAAGATTAATTGACATTTTTGGAATTGCCACTTTTCTTTTTGATAAGACTATTCATATCACAGTCCTTGTTATTCATTTATTTTAAATGAAGTTTTGTAAAAACTAGCCATTCCCATTATTTTGATGACTTGATATTTTTCCTCTTACAAAAGAAAAGCCCTTCACACTGGACATAATGACCTGATTCTGTCATCAGGCTGTAAAATTATTCCTTTTGCTGAGACCTTCTGAGTTCCCTGCTCCCCTGTGCTTCTTTCCCTGTCTCCTGAAGGAGCTGCTCCATCCCATTGGCAGCAGAGTCCAGCTCCAAGGGGAAACCTGGGGGCACTGTAGGCATTGTGTATCTTATCCCTTCTGTCAGAAAGAATTGAAGTCATGTACAAACTGTCCATGTCATGGGAGAAAAAGTGACATAACCCTCTGTGAAACTTGTCAGGTGGAGTGGCAGCATCTCTGTTGGCGATGGAGGTGGAAAAGTGGATTGACTTCTGAATGCACAAATCATTAATCTGACAAAAAGCTGCAGGCTTGATAACTTGAAACAAATGCAACACTACCTGTCTCCTTCATTTTTAAGTCAATATCTTTGCAACCTGCCTGGTGATTTTGGAAACATTAAGAATAGCAGTGATGCAAAAAGTCACAGAAAATAATTTTTTTTCCTGAAATAATTTATCCCATAAAATGGAGAGGATATGAAGTCTTTTCACACATAACAGGTTGTGGCCTGATGTCACTGTTGAAGGTCCATTAGAGCACTGAGACATCATCCCACCCTTATATGAGTTTTCTTACTACATGTAGTCTGGAAAAACACTGACTCAAATGGACATAATTCTTGGAGGTTTATTTCTTTCAACTATCCATTGGTGCTCATGAGAAAATCGGTCTCGTTTTCTTGTTTGTTTGGTTTTTTTTTTTTTTGAGGATTGCTGGACAGTACTTAAAATAACACTATTTTGCACAATAATATTTATGCTATTGAAGAACTCCCTATCTTAGGGTGTTATTTAAATCTCTACAAGTTTGGCTTACACATGAAGTTCAGCACGTGTTTAAGTGCTTTTTTCAGTAAACTTGTGTCACAGACATGTTTTATGAAAAATCCTTTCCTTAGGATTTTTTCTCCTGAGAAGCTGAGAGACCTCAGGAACAAAATGTCAACAATGATTATCTGCTGCTGTGGAATGCAACAGGTGGATCTTTGATTGGTCTCATGTGGTTGTTTCTAATTAATGGCCAATCAAAGTCCAGCTGTCTGGACTGTCTCAGTCAGTCACAAGCCTTTGTTATCATTCCTTTTCTATTCTTAGCTAGCCTTCTGATGAAATCCTTTCTTCTATCCTTGTAGTATAGTTTTAATATAATATATATATCATAAAATAATAAATCAGCCTTCTGAAACATGGAGTCAGATCCTCGTCTCTTCCCTGGTCCTGGACCCCTGCGAACACCACCACAAACCTGGAATGAGATTTAACTCTAGAGACTCAGGTCTGTGGTCAGATAACAGCTCAGCTGTACAGCCATATATCACAATACTGTTTCTACTGCTTGGTATATTCACAGAGAAATGCAGCTGTGGTACCAGCTGAAGACTGAAGAACTAGAGCACATGCAAGCTGCTTACTTTGGTTTTAAGGGAAGGAACAGTAACAACAATAATAACAAACTCAGGATTCCTTCTGTATTCGGTGACATGACTAAGATGGTATATGATAACCAAGGCTTCTACAGGTAAGGCTGTTAAAATAAAGTAGGTTTGAATGAGCTGATGGGATCCTGGCTAAACACTAACCAGAGCTAAAACCAGCTATGAGAGCAGGTATATCAGTCTGTGCACCCTTAGCCAAAAGTCTGGCTGTTTTGGGTATGGAGAGTGGGCACTGCTTCTCATCAGAGATGGAAGTGTCATTAAAGGTGATTCTAAATAAAACTGTCCTGGAATTGCTCTTGGAACGGATGTGACCCTTCCTTATTTACACCTTGTTCTCTTTTTCCACTCAAGTAAGAGCTGTTTAATCAAGTAATTTCAAGCAATTTCTATTCTTTAATTCTGTAAAATAAATAGACATGCAAGGTGAGATGTGGGAATTCTACTGACAGATTTCATGAAGACAACAAATGGCCTGTCAGTTTTGTATTTCACTTGCAAGTTGGTTTTTTTAGTGTGTGTAACAAATTAGGCTAAGTTTCCTCATCCTGTGTTCATCTGGCTTACTGGGAACAGGAGAACAATGCAGGTACTGGGGAGGTGCAAACGTGGAGCTGGGCTGTGCTGGGAGGACCGGAATGAAAGGACACGTTACCTGTCTGGGTGATTGCTGTAGTACCATTTCCCCTCCAGTGTGAGGTGGGAATGTTGGCAGCCTGTGCCTGGAGGAAATCTCTAAACCTGGGTGCGTGTTGCTGCAGTGGTGAAGCTGTTACAGTATTGATTGTCCAAAGAAGTAAATACAGGCATGTGGCATGTTTGAAAAACAGCAGCAAAACTCAGGGTGGGCAGTCCCAAAGGAAAGATTCCATATATTTCTGCATATCCATGGTCAAGAACCAAAAGAGAATTTAACCAAGATTCCTCAGGGAAGGTTCAGGCTTGACATGAGTAGCCATTTGTGTACCAAGAGGGTGGTCAGACCCTGGAACAGAGTCCTGGAGCAGGTCAGTGTTGGTGGCCCAAACTGGCATTGCTCAAGGAGCATTTGGACAATGCCCTTAGTAATGAGGTTTAGTTTTTGGTCAGCCCTAAAGGGGTCAGGCGGATGGACCCAATGATCCTTTTGAATCCCTTCCAACTGAAATATTTCAGTCTAGTGTAGTCTAGTGTAGTCTATCAGCACCCTATCCCTATTCTATCCTACCCTATCCTCTTCTTGTGTTAAAGTTTCAGACATTTGGAGGAATTGCCCAATGCATCATGAGATCTCTGAGCACAGCAGCAATCCTGCTTGGTTTTTCTAGGCAGGAGCTGTCTGAAGAGGCACAGGGGATGAATCCTCTCCTCCCTGCCTTTTCCAGGGCTGTGGTACATGCTGTTTTCTGCAACCCAGCCATGGGAAGTGGCTCTGCAGCCCACTTAGAAGGGGAAGTTGAGATGAGTGCTGCCCATGTCTGACAAGGGAGTGGGTGGAGGCCTGAAAAATTCAGTCATTTTTATGATAGCTTTCTCTCTTTTCTTGAAGAAACTGTTCTGCTTCATATTCTTGTAGCATATGAAGTATCTGGAAGAGTAAGAACTCTTCCACCCTTGAAGAAGACTCTGTTGAGTATATCTTAATTTATTTTTGACTAGAAAAGCATGTAGGTTGTGCTACTTTTCAGACTTAATTGAATGGATTTTGAGATTAACATTTTGATTCAGTACTTGAGGGTCAAAATACTGTAAGAAGAGATAAAATAAAAAGCTGATTCGTTTAGCTAAGGCAATATAATATAAAAAAATCAATTCTTTCAGGCAGGTAAGGTATTAACAAATACAGGTTTACAAAACAAATAAAGGTTTACAGACAAATTTAAGATTAAAACACTCTAATCAGTTAAAGAGGGGCCTTAGTATGCTGACAAGATAATTTTGGCTGCAGTGAGGTGACACAATGTGGGTGCAGAGTGCTGATGTGCAGAGCTTATAAATAACAGAGAAGCCCAGCTGTGTGACTGTAGGGGCTCCACTGTGCTGTTCTGGACCTGGCTGCCACAAAATGAGAACTTTCTCCCCTCATGTTTGAAGCATATCACAAACATTGTGAATATGTAGTTTTGCAGGAAAACATTGGATTTTAGTGGCAACTGCTTTAATTATAATGATTCTCATTCTGACTGCTTTTCTGGTTGAACAAATTGCTTTAAAATGATAAGAAATATGTGTACAAATACCCGGGATCATTAACTACAGAGTGCTGTCACTCCAGATGCTACCTCTTTCATTTGGATGTAAAGAATCATAATGAGGTGGATGGATGAACATACCAATTTTTAGCAGAAAAAGGTCTTATATGCATGAGCTGCAAGTATTTACAGCGTATTTGCTCTATTATATTATTGAAAACACTAAATAATGTTGAGCAGGGAAAAACAAGTTACAGATCATGGTGCTGCTCGGAGGGAGGTGTTTCCCCTGCGTTGCTTCTTAGAAGTTCAGAGCAGCAGAGATAGCAGTTTTCTCTGTAGTGCAGAGGTTTGAGCCAGATTAGCTGAAAACAAGGGTCTGTGTCTAGGGAAGGGAGATTAGCTGCAGCCCTGGGCCATGTAGTTAGAGGAGAACAATGCCCATGAGCCTCCAAAGCAGTCCCCAGGAGGACTGCTGGGCAGAGGGCTTGTCAGCATGTTGGGAATGGCTCTCAGAGCCTGACTGCAAGATGTACCAGGATGTGTTATTTTTGAGTCAATTATTTTATGATGAAGAATAATGCCTGACCCTGCAGTAACTGTTCTCTGGAGCACTTGCTTGGGCACCCACCACCCGAGACAAACAGCTCTCTGCCTTCCCAGCAAGCAGCAATGTGGGAGAGCTAGGATCAGGCATCTGCCCAAGAAGACAGGTTGTCCTCTGCCACATGACCGGCACAGGGTAAAATATCAGTAAAGAAAAACTTAATGGCAGCTGTCCTTCCTCTGTGCCAGCTGCTAGTAGTGTTTGAGAGATGGAATGAAGATCACTGAGACGTTATGTTGAAGAAATGGGTGTCCAAAAGAAGAGTGGGGTCAGCTTAATGCTGGAGGGGCCTATGCTCACCCACTGCTCACGGTCAGCTGTAGCTGCTCCCCAGGTGAAGGTATTTCAGGGTTTGACAACCTTTTCTGTGAGGAATTTTTTCCCAATATCCAACCTAAACCTCCCCCAAAATGACAGAGCTTAAAAAGTGCCTTCAGTTTTCAGCGAGGAGGCAAAGCTTCACAGCAAACTAGTGCAACAGCCTCAGCAGAGCTGTTGCTGTAGGAATACAGCGTGAGGAAATGCAAATAAGCAATTGCTCTGATAAACATCATTGCCAGTTTTTAAATTTGTAAAGAATTGTCCTGTCCACTGCTGTAATGTACATCAATTAAATTGTAAGCATCCATTCAGGAAGAGGACTGTCCTGTGCTTGTTTAAGTAGTTTGTAGCATTTACATTTGTTCTGGAAGTGAAGCCATCAGTTCCATAAAAAGCACGAGGAAATGCAAGTGTTCTGTGCCAGAAATGGGATCCTGAATCCAACTGGAACCACTTTTGTTCTGACAAAATATGCACAACCTAGTCTAACATTGTGAGAGCAAACAGTAAACCCTTCTGGCATGAAGAGACATTAAAGAACCAGGCACTCCTCTTTTGGAACCTATTTATATATCTGCATGTGTAGAAGATACTGTCCCAGGAGCAGCACAGATAGCAGGTGTAAAGAAATCGCTGAGAGCTCATTTCAGTTTGCATCATCTTCCTAGTGATGGTCAGAAATAGCCACACCTTGGCTCTGTTGCTCTTCTTTTCAGTGTAAAAGTCCTGTAACCTGTCCTGGAATAGATACTCCCTTGACTCAAGGGATGTGCTGATTTTTTGTAGGGGAGAATTGATGATCCAGCATTTTCCATACTCAGGAGAGCTGAATGTAGCTGTACACTAACTCCTTTTCATTCTCTGCCAGCTACGATGACAACAAGAAAAAAAAGTAGTCCAGCTCAAAAATGCAATCTAAAGAGAATCAAAGAAATTTGGTGTGGTTTTTTGTCTAGCATGGAAACATTTGGAAGAAGTTGGACATTTCAAATTTGGACTGCTTAGAGGTGAATTATTTTTCACAGCTCAAGTCAAGTTAAAAAACATTCTCTGTGAAGGAGTTGATCTGACTGTAGAAGCTAGTCAAGTGGAAAAGCCCATGTCTCAGTAGGGTTAAAGTCCTCCTTTCAGCTATTCACACAGCTGGAACATATTACCAAGAAGAAAAAATCCTTCTGCAGAGAAGCAGGCTGGTATATTCTCCCACAGAAGATATTTTTAGTTGCTGAAATTTTTGTACCAGAGACCTTTCTGACTACAAGATGCTTTACCATTCTACCTGGCAAAAAGCAAATAAGGACAATCCAACAACAAAGAATTCCAACTGAAAAGATTTTGTAAAAAATCACAAAGGCAGCATGCTATTAGGAGAGGCAGCTCAGCATTTTCAGCATCACTGTGGGGTTTAATGCTGCATCGCATAGAGCATTCACTGATACAATTGTATGGAATTGATACAGTTCCCTACACAAAATGTTGGATTGCATGGCGCCATGAAGGGAAGACACCAGCATAGGAGAGGGGCAGATTTCCTTTCCCTGCTTTTCCTTGCTTTTGCCCATGACTGGTCCAGCCTTGAGCTTCTCTGTTCATGGAGTTATTCTTTGTTTACCTCTTGTTTTTCCTGTGCTCTGTGTTCCCCACCACCACCTTTTAGAGGCTCAGATCTTCCCAGTACCCTTCGACATGCAGGTTTCAAAGAAAGCTGAGACAGGGGAAGTGAGCTGTGGTTTCACCTTGGGGCCCTGTTAGAAGGGTAGGATAAACTGGCTTTTAAGTTACACCCATTTCTGAATTTCAGTCTTAATTGTCATTGCAAGAGCTAGAAAGGGGCATGTACAGCAACATGTGCTTTCAATAGAGCTGCTATTATTGTTTTCATAATGCTTTCCTGATTACCCCAGGGTCTTGTACAAAGCCACTAGGCATACAGCAAGAAAAAAATCCCCTCCCATCCTCTAGTATAAAAGCTGTTTTGAGAGGCAGTACCAGCACCAGGCAGCTTTGTGGCTGCGTTCTCACACGTCTCGGATGTCCTGTTAACAGTGTTTTCCCTCCAGCAAGGAACATCTCTCAAGTCACACAGAAGAATATTCTTGTGAATCCTCTAAATCCCATTGACAAATGCTGTGATAGTTATTCTTCTCCCCTGATGGGAGTTCCAAATTTTATCTGTCAGATACAGTCTGTCCTTGTCAAATGCATCATGCACTTGGCTGTGCAGTGCCCAGGGCAGGTTTATATAGCCAGGTAAGGGTGCAGAGAAGGGTTCTAATCCTCTTGCTGTGGTGTTTTGAAGTAGCTCAGTTGGGAACTGGAGTTAAGGAAAGTTGAAGTGCTTGAAAAAACAGTCACGCTTATTCAGGACAAAGTACAGAGCTTCCAAGGATGAGAGGAGAGCAAACTGAAGACTGTGTCTGACTGAAGGTCATGCACACAGAACAAAGCCCACTGCATGCACAGTTGTCCCTTAGTGACACTGCAACCTGCTTAATAGCTCTTCTCAGCCTCTGCTGAGGTGAAACCTCACTGCCTTTACTGTCCCTCTGATGTCCTCAGGGTTTAATCTATTGCAGGGAAGAGAGGTGCCTACTGTCTCACCCTACACTTATAGAATCACATAATGATGAAATGGTTTGGATGGAAAGGGGCCTTAAAGACTATCCCATTCCCCCCCTTGCCGTGGGCAGGGACGCCTTCCACTAGACCAGGGTGCTCCAAGCCCCATCCAGCCTGGCCTTGGACACTTCCAGGGATAGAGCAGCCACAGCTACTCTGGGCACCCTGTGCTAGCAGATGTCAATGAAAGCTTAATAGTTCCTGTAATGGGAGGAATGGGTTGCTAAGCCAGGAGTACATTTCTTCTCCAAGTACAGTTTTAGCCAGTGTGGGTTCCTGAGTGGTGGACTATGGGTAATTGAAGTGTTTCACAACATAGAGATTTATAGGGAAAAACATCAGAGTGGGATGACTTCTGCCCAGGTGGACTGGATTTATTGCTCTATAACCAGCATACCTAGACTTGAGCTATAATCCTGGCAGAACAATTTGCAAAGACTTTTATTTTTCAAAGGCTGTTTTGCTGGCCCAGGCAAAGCTTTTTTCCAGTCCTTCTGTGTCTATGTGCTGCTTTGATTTGATTTTTATTTTGACCTTTGACTACCAACTCAAGAAGATGGAACCAAGTTCCTTATACTATAAAAAAAAATAAATAAGTGCACAACAGCAGGTATGTCAGAAGATTTTCTTTTGGCAGCGAGGTGTGCAGCATTACCCCATGTAGCTTCTGTTCCCTGATGGCAGGTCACAGTGGTGCTCAGTGCTCAGTTGGTACCCAGCAAAAAGGTACTTGAGGTCTTGTTGAGGTTTTACAGAGACACAATTATTTGCCCCACTGCTGCCAATTGGTTTTGATGCTGGGAGAAGCAATTTTTCATGTTACAGCACAAGTCATTTGCAAAACACCTGATGTGCCAATAAAATGCACAAATTCTGTACCTTCACCAGAATTAATGAAACAGAAATAACTTTACCCTTTGTGCTTACAGGTCCCAGGAAGAGCAGACTTGGGATGTCGTCGTTCCTGGGTGTTGCAAAGACAACAGTCACCTGCTGAAGGTAGCCAAGAGCAGTGGTGCACCTGGGGCACACACGGTACCGAGACACAACACTGCACTGCAGATGGTGAACTCCATACACGTTGTTGAAGTCTACAGTCATAAGGATAGTTACAACAAGCCAACCTGTCAGATACCTGGATAGCTGGTGTCTCAAATGCAACTGCTTCTCTGGACCAAAATGAAATGTTGATAGAAATATGTGCCTTAAAGACAACACAGAAAGTTCATTATTCATATGAACTGTAAGTTTTCTATATTCCAAGATGGTTATTTAAGAGAAATGCTTCAAGGTCTGATACAAATAAAGATATGAATATTGGGGCTGTCAGTCCAGAGCTGTTCTCTGTGGTGTGCTGTGCAGTGTGACCATGGCAAAAGCATAATGCCCTTCTGCACAGTTAGAGGGGTGGTACCCAGTTTGCATATTTGCCTCATATGAAGTTGCTGATATATAACTACACACCCCTCAGATTCCAATCTTCTCTGAATCAGTGGGTTTTGTAAGAATTTAGAAAGAAAAGTCCCCCATATTTTTACAAAGTAGCATGATAGAACTACAAAAAATTATTTTTTAATTAAATTCTGCATTGTTTTGTATCAGAAAGGTCTTTAGTTGATCTGCTCTGTGTTTAGAGACCATGTGGGACTGGGTGCAGCAGAGGCCCCTCTGCAGGTCTGCCAGCCTGTGGGAGAGGAGATGGCACATGGAGGGATGTAGTGTCATGCTGTGCCACACCTTGGGGCCCCCACCAGTGACCTCCTGTAGCTTCTACTGGTGTCCCAATGCAAGAGCAGTTGGTGTGCAGGTGGGGATAGCAGTGCAGCCTTCCTGGAGCAGCCAGCTCGGGATCACTGCAGCATCATCCCTATGAGACCTCTCTAAATAAAGGGCTGAGGTAGCTTTTGAAAGCCTGCCTTCTTTTCCTGTTGTTCATCTGTACATCATGTGAGGAAAAAAGGTGGGTTTTTTTCTTCTTTTGTCCTTTTTGAATAGTTAAGTAACAGATACAGTGCTTTTTCTACTGTTTATATGCAAATAGATGTATATGCTGCTTATAGTTCTTTTTGTTCCAGTTGAAGCCTTACTTAATACTGTTATCAGCTGTCTGTTTAATGGGTATCATCACATCTCTCTTGTGGGTAGAAACATGACCTTATAGCAGGCTGCAGTAATTGTTTTATGGTATATTCCCTTGGTATGAATCAGGTATCATCTCACAACCTGCAGTTCTGAAGCTTCAGTTTTGAAATTCAAATTACTGTAGCTTGCTGGCAAATGCCCTCTTCTATCCTGGCCATACTCTGCAGAGATCAAAAACACGTGCTTGAAACTCAGTAAGATGAAAGTTGCAGCAAAAGACTTTTTTCTTGTTTCTAATAAGCTCAGTTCTACTGTAGGTTGCACCAAGGTGCATCCTGCAACACACTTCTCACTATGCACTGCAAAAAGGAGAATGGATGTACTTCCCATCACTCCACCCAATTACATTCTCAATTCATCCAATTAGTACTAGCTAGTGTTTATCACGATATAGTTGTGCTGTGAACTATTCTGCCTGCAGTTTTCAGTTGCCTGTCAGACCCAGACAGCTTCTCTACCCAGCAGTGTGGGCAGCAGTTCAAGGGAGATGGTTCTGTCCTTCTGCTCTGCTAGGATCTCATCCAAAGCTCTGTGTCTAGCTCTGGGGCCCCAGCATAGGAAGGACATGGAGATGCTGGAGAGAGTCCAGAGGAGGCCCTGGAGCTGCTCCAAGGGCTGGAGCCCCTCTGCTCTGAAGCCAGGCTGGGAGAGCTGGGGGTGCTCACCTGGAGAGGAGAAGGCTCCAGGGACACCTCAGAGCCTCTTCCAGGGCCTAAAGGGGCTCCAGGAGAGCTGGAGAGGAACTGAGGACAAAGGGGAATGGTTCCCCACTGCCAGAAGGTTAGATGAGATACAGGAAAGAAATTCTTGTCTGAGAGGGTGGTGAGGGCCTGGCCCTTAGAAAAATGGAAAAGGGCAAATTTAATAAGGGAAGAGAAGAGAACCTCAAAAGTACCAGAATGGGAGGCTTTCTCTGATCCCCTGAAGTGTAGAGCAAATGGTTAAACAAGTCCTTCACAAAGAAGATACAGCTCAGCCTAGGATTAAAAAGAGTTATAGGCATGGGAGGGAGGTGTTCTGCCCTACTGGCAATATTATGCTTAAGGTACACATGTGAAGGGTGGCCAAGATATCCTTGATCCTGCCTCTCTGTAGCTCTTTTGAATTTCCTTCCTCTTTCCATCTCTATGATTATGCTCACAGAATTCCATTATTTAGTTCCCTAGTGTTTTAATTTCATTATTTGGCTTTAAAATGCAATAATATGACTGCAAGTGAAATAAATTCCCTGTTGGGATGTTTGGGTCAACACTTTGTGTGAGGAGACAGCCTCTCTCCTGTTCTGCACGAGGAGAAGCTGAGTAATGTTGGATGGGACAAAAAGTGCACACTTGAGCTGCCAGGGATGCTGGCAGCCATGGGAAGCATCCCAGAAGGCAGGTAAATTCACTGTCCCTGTGCCAGAGCTAAATGACTGCCATTTATTTGGGCAGCTAATGCAAGAGGCAGCAAAGTTACACCAAGATAAGGAAGCAACACCCAAACTGTTTGTGAAAGATTTGTGGCTTGGCTTCCTCTGGGACTGTGCTTAGTTCTGATGGCTGCACCCCCTGGAGTTAGCTTTATTGCTCGTGCAAATATAATTTATTGTCAGAAGGGAAGTAAGTGCTGTGCAGGAAGGAGACAAAAACAGCTGAGACTCTAAAATAGACATTTAAAACCTTGTAACCCTTAAATGTTTGCTGGCCAGTGATTCCAGCTGGATTCAAGCTCCTACTTCTGCTACAGAACACTTGCATTTCCTTGTGCATTTTGTAAAACTGATGACTTGCACACTGCTCACAGAGGTCTTTCCCACTGGACTTAAGCTGTATCTATGAGCTGGAATCTGCAGTGGCCTCTAACCTGTTGCAGCACGGGCAGATGGTTGGTTGCTGAAACCTTCCTGAAGTGTCCCCACGAGGAGAGCGCTCCACCAAGCACACAGCAAATACCACACTCACACGCAGCAGCTGCTTATGTGAGACAGCGGAGGCAGGAAGGTTCTTTGTGTAGGTTTCCAGTGGTAGCTTATTTCACCTACACTCTGAAAGGGTCCAGGGACAAACACAGGGAGATGTAGAGGGTCCAGGACCACATACTGTTACAAAGGGGCAGAGCCAACAGCAACAAGCATCTGCCCCTGCTGCGACAATCACCTGACGGTGTGAGCGGGGAAGAAGATTACAGTGACCAAAAGGGAAACACAAGCGTAAACAGACAGGGGTACAGACAAACGAGGGTACAAAGAAACTGCTAGAACCTGTTAACCACATATGGTTAACAGGCAGTTGAACAGCCAATGGGCCAACAGGGGGTGTGGCACTGAGGTTGACTGACAGCATGTCACAGGAGTCCATGGGAGAGGTTGAAGTCCAGTGGACATTCTTCCAGGGCATAGGTGCAGGAAGTCCCCTAGCAGGTCCACAGGCCTCCACAATTCCCCTTTATTTATTAAAAAGGCCTCTCCTATGGATTTCTGTAAACATTTAACTAAAGAGGAAAACATAAACAAGACTATGAGTACAACAACTAAAATCCCCAAAATCCCTTTTACAAAAGATAAAGGCATCCACCCATCTGAGCAGACCATCACACCGCAGCAGCTCTCCATCAAGGATGACCCAAGAACTCTAAGGGACCTACACTAACCCATGCCCAGGGCTTTACTTCACACAGGCTGCACACCATCCTCTCATTCATTCCTGGCTGTGGGGGTCAGATGAGGCCCAGAGCTGGCACAGGGATGACTTCCGTATGAAGATGTATACCTGAAGTGGCTTTGTTCCCTTCCCAAAGCTCTGCAGAATATCAGTTTGCCAAATCTGTCAACTGTTTATTTACACACCTATTTTAAGGGGAGGATGCTCTAACAACTTAATTTGCTTCCTATCTTCAAAGAATTCAATTGTTTGGTTTTTTTAAAAAATAATTAGCTGAGTATTTTTTTCATGGGTACAATTTGATTTGTGCTTTAGATAAGGAGCCAAGTGCAGTATTGAACATGTTTGTGAAGCTGGTTGTTCATTCTCCAAAATCTGTGCAGTATTTACCAGGACTATGTGTGATCAGTATACACTTATTCTACATGCCCATTAGGTTTCCAGACCTGTGGATGCTCCAGGCTATCATAGCCTGAGCTTAAATGGACCCTGAGGGATCATCCAGTCCAACCCCTGGCCCTTCAAGACACCCCAACAATCCCACCCTGGGCATCCCTAGGAGCACTGTCCAAACACTCCTGGAGCTCTGGCAGCCTCTGGAGCCATGCCCATTCCCTGGGGAGCCTGGGCAGTGCCCAGCACCCTCTGGGGGAAGTTTCATCCAAGTCAGTTCTGTTCCCATTTCACGGTTTGGCTTAACTGGTTAGGAATAAAGAGCTGGGAATTTGCAGCACAGCTTCTGCTTTTGTGTTTGGAGTCAGATAATTCTTTTCTTCATCTCCTAGCCAACAAAGTAATCATACCAATAATCATATTCTGACTATATAAATAAGATTGGAAAATATCCCATTTTATGTGCAAAGCAACTCTAGAAATTATTAGCATACACACAAAAAGCCTTCATAACTCTGAGCAAACAAACATCTTGGTTTTCAGAGCTAATTATACGTCCCCTAAAATCATCAGCAAATTGCTGCTGACTCCGAGGGGCAGAGGAGCAGCCGCCCATCGCTCCCGGCGGAGCTCTGCCGGCTGTCACAACTGGACTCGCTCCCTCCCTGTTTTACTTTCGCTTCTCCCAGTTGCCCGTGACCTCCGCTTATCCCATCAAGGAGAATTGCACTGCGGCCGCCCCGCGTGGGACGTGTGCCGGGCACGGCACACACCCACCCTGAAACCGATGGATGATGTTCTACAGAAGCTGTAAGTGCACATTTGTAGCGAGGAATTTGGGCAAAACAAGGGTCTGAAAGGTGCAAATCTGTGGGAACAGGAGTTCAGAGACAGAGGGGCAGTGGCTCTGACGGGAGTGGCCAACCCGTCACTGCCTTCACGTTTTCCCCCTTCTTAGAGCTTCTTTTTGTAAATTATTGACTGAAACTTACTGAAGGGAGCCTAGTGCGCTATCTGACCTTGTTAAGAAATACTTGATTGTATTTTCTTAAGCACAAAGAAAGACTGTTAGAGGAACTGCTTGCGCTATCTAGATTTAATTTGTTGCTAAAGAGATTCAGTCCTCTGGCGGTGGGAAAACAACAAAGCGTATTGTGATCCAACAGTTAACAGATAAAACACTACATGATAATGTTGCCAGGACAAGGGTGTTATTTAGTAAGTAAAATAGTTCACTTAAATAAACAAATCGGTCGCTTTAGCGGGGGGGAAACAGTACTGGCTTTTGAGATTAGCTAAGCAGGAAATCAGTCTGCTGGGAAAAGAAACGTTGTGCAGGTCACTTCGCATGGCCACTAAATGCGGAGGCAGAACTCTGAAATGAATTAGAGTTTTGGAAGGGCACTGGGCTCTGTCAGGCAGCGGGGGTTCGCGGCGTGCCGCTCTCTCCGCAGCGGGGTGAGGGACGCGTTTCTCCCCTCGCGGTTCGCGATGCGGCTTCCCCACCCGGCTGCGCGCTGTGGCTGTCACGGGTTGTGACTGTCACCATGGGAGGGCGTTCGGGACCAGCCCCAGCTTGGTCCTTCCCTCCCTAGGAGCACGGGCACGGCGGCGGCCTCTGCTGTGGACGTGTGGCTCCGCCAGGATCTGTCTGTGCAAAGCGAACCTTGACAGCGATCCTGCTGCAGAGGTCTTGCGTGCCACCGGCATGAGGAGGAGATATGTTTAACCTCTGCTTCTTGTGTATTTATCTGAGTTTGCAGGACAAAAATATCTCCAGGCAGTGTGGCACTGTATATCGCAGCATTCCTGAGGGATTGATTTTCGTTTCCACTTCACTCACTGTGCTTTGAATCACTGTGTGCTGAAAAACATTTAGATTTATATTAGAGATTTCAGTCTATATCGCACTAAGATGACCAGGTTTTCTGTTTAGTGGTTTAGATTCTAGTAGTTTCAAAAGTTCTAAAAGATTTTAAATTTAAAACTTCTAAAATTTCTAAAAGCTTCCAGGGAAACTTTTTAGTAGAGCACAAAATGCAGTGAATTCACAGAGGTATAAAGGGGTCATAAAAACAAATCCTCAGCATGGCATTCTCCCACTGCTTCTTAGTATTAGGCAACCCCTCTTGCTGTAATGTTTTAATATGCATATGGAAGTGAATTGTAGAATACAAGAATGGTTTGGATTGGAAGGGACCTTAAAGATAATTTTGTTCCAAACCCCTGCCATGGGGAGGGGCGCTTTCCACTGTGCCAGGTAGCTCAGCCCCATCCAAAATGATGTTAAAATATATCACAAAAGGAATTACAAAATTCCAAGTTACTTTTCACAAGATTTCTGTTTCTTTACTTAAATACATTGCCAAAAATCACACCAATGCAGGTGTGATCAAGGTCTCCATGTGCAATAATAACAATAATAATAATAATTTTAAAATGTATTTTCATGCTGTTAGGAAGATCTGGATTCTGGAGGGTAAATAGGCTAAACTCAGGATGTATATACTCTACTAATCTTCTCAAGGATATGCACCGTGAATGTCACAGCAATTGACAATGCTTCAATCCTCTGCAGCATTTATCCCTAGCAAGGCATATTCTCTTCCATTCCTTGCTAGGTAATTAATTGTTGATGAAATTTGGGACAAATAGCAGGTTTTACATCCACAGATTTGCTTGTACTTTTTTACTCATAAAGTTGACTATCCCAACTAATTACATGCTTCACTGAAATTCTTTCTATGAGAGAAATTGTCCCTGCTCCTTGGGCTTGAGTCACTACCGGCCCAATGTACCTTACGTGTCCAGCTGCACTTAAATGCGTGTTGTGCTGCAGCACAAGGAAAATATAAATTCTACATGGATGTTGTGAAGATGTAGACATGGTATTTTGGACACTGTAATTTCTTCTGGAAAAGGAAATCGCGGCTTTACCAATCATGCATTAATTGTTTAAAAACTTGTGGCTGTGCAAGTGTAAATTCATGCTTCTACCCGGGACGGGCTGGTGAGCACAGACATTTGAAGAAATGTTTTTACCTCGAAAGTCAAGGTGATGGGAACGCCGATGTGGCCTACGGGGGGGGCTCAGGGGGGACCTGCCCCGGTACCGCCCCGGCTGCCCCCAGCCCTGCGCTCCGCTTCCCCGGCTCCGCGCTTCCCCCGCCGCCTCCGGGCCCGGGAGGCGGTGCCCTGCGCCTGCCGTCCCACCCCGCCCCGCCCCGCCCCGTCCCGGCCTGGCAGGAAGGCCGAAGGCCGCCGTGCGAAGGCCGCAGCCCGCGGGCCGGGCGGGGCCGGGGCTGCCATGGCCGGTGAGTGCGGGACGGGCAGGGTCCGGGGATCCTCGGCGGCTTGGTGAGCGCCGCTGCGCTCCCAGGCCCGGCCGGAGCCTCCGGGGCCGCAGCGCCGATGTCGCGGTGTCCCCGCGCCCCGCAGCGGTCCCGCCAGCGCGGTGGCCCCGGCGGTTCGGTGCGCGGCCGCGGCCCGGCCGTGGGTCGGGCTGACCGCCCCGGGGCATGGCCCGGCCCGGCCCGGCCCGGGCAGCGCTGCTGGGCCTCGCACGGGCGGGCCGTGGGACGGCGGGCGGGGCGGGGCCGGGCGCGGGGCTCGAGGCAGCAGGGGCGTGTGGAGCCCCAGCCTGGCGTGTCCGGTGTAGCCGGGCAGTGCCACGTTTCACACCCTGGCACACTGGCTGCCTGTTGTGTGGCAGCGAAGTCTGCTGTTTACTCCTAGCCTCCATCCAGCTCGCTGGTACTGTGCCTCTACACCTGGGGAGCACACAGGTTAGTTTTCCTGGTGACTCCGGTTGTTTTAGCCGTCTTTTGGAGCTTGGAGGATTGAGACTGTGTGTAACCTAATGTCGCACTCTAGTATCAAATACTTTTTAATATTTTGCTCACTGCAGTTGTTGAAGTCTACAATTCCCTGATGGGTGGGTGTAGCCAGGTGGGTGTCAGTCTCCTCCCAAGCACCAAGTGACAGGATGAGAGGTAACAGTCTCAGGTTGCACACGGGGAAGTTTAGGTTGGATATTAAGGAAAATTTGTTCATTGAAAGGATTGCCCAGGCCTGGTATGGGTTGCCCATGCCTGGTACAGGCTGCCCAGGGCAGTGGTGGAGTCATCGTCCCTGGAAATGTTCAAGAAACATATGGATGTGACACTCCATGACTCCATGGTTTAGTGCTGAACATGGTGATGATACTGGATTAATGGTTGGACTCAAAAGTCTTAAGGTTGTTTTCCAGCCTAAATGATTCTGTGATTCTCTTCACTTGCTGTCAGAGTCCCTTGACTTCTGGTAACTTGCCAGTAGCACATGGCAGTGGGCGACAGTAGCAGAGGAGGGTGGCATCTTGTTTTTCACCTCTGTCATCCTTTCAGCCCAGAGGAACAGACCGGTTGCTCTTCATGAGTGCATTTGGTAACCAGTGCCATCTGATCTTCTCAAGACCATTTCTCTGCAGCCAGTCTTCTTAAATCCTTGCCATTCCTTTCTTGTGATCTTGAAAGGGAAGAGGCAAAACTAAATTAGTGTTAAGCTAACATTTTGTTGAGAGAGTCTTTTTCCTCTTTCCTGAAATGCTTCTGAAAGGAGTTCTTACAGACACGTACAAATGGTTTGATCATCAGATCCAAACCTTCCAGGTTTTAGTTGCCAGCTTTTCTGTATATTTATGAAAATCACCCAGGAATTTTACAGGAAGTAGCAACTCGTGTTTGCACTGCACAGCAGACACCACTGAGCTTTCTGGAATGGATATGTGCAAGTTCAAGAGAACATCAGAGGGCTGCACTGGTTTTCATGTCTGTTGTATTTAAATTTATCTCCTTAATGATCCTGTTTGTTTGCTTGATAAACTTAAGACGGCTTTTAAGGGGAAAACAAACCAAAGATGAAACCATAATAAAGATACAGTGATGTCAGAGACAGTGTCCAGAGTCCTTATGTAAATATTGTTGGACTTATTAATTAGGAGTGTGTACCTGCCTGACTAAAGGTGATTGGAAGCTCCCAGGGCCTGGGTGTGGATGAGTGCTTGCATGTTGCAGCGGGGCAGGGAAGGGCTGGTCTCGGCCTACAAATTTGCAATGCAGCTGTATTTATTAATTTACTGTGATAAATATGAAGTGGCAGTGCAACTCCTTAGGGCCCTGTGGCTTTATCCAGAAAGGCAGTGAAAGTAGATCATGAAGAAATGTAGGCAGGGTATGGTGAAAAAATCCTGTTTGATGTTTCTTGTACAGAAAGCAACATGAGGGTTTTATGCTAAAAATAGTTAAGCAGAAACAAAATTACAAAGGGGTTTTTAGCAACCAATGTAACTTGAAAGTTCTAGTTTGTGTTGTGCCAGTGGCGCTAGTGACAGCTTTCGGGAGCCACACACCTCAGCACAGGCATATAAAGCAGAGTGCTTTATATGGGTTTGTCAAGCTTTCTGGCTGCTGCCAGGGTCTGGCATATCCCTTCCTCTGTTGGGAATTGTGTCTGACAAACTCCCTGTTTGAAGAACTTAAGAAAGGGTGTCCCTGATGTTTTTTCTGCAGGTGCTCTAGCAGACAGTCTGGCACCTTATGGTCATGTATGATAAGTTTTTTTATGAGCCTTATTATTTCCAAGAGCAGAATGAGAGCGTCCCATTGGATGGGAGAAGCATCTTGCAGGTGCCTTAAATGTCATAATCTGATTTCATAAGTGATAGAGTATTTATCTGCAGTAATTCATTAACTTTAAGGCTGTGTTTGATTAAATATCCTTCAGCGCTTGACTTCTAAATGATTTATAGCCTTCTCCCTTTGGAAGGAGAGAGGCAGTAGGAGTGACCAGCCAGAAGTTCTGATTTGTGTAATTTCAAGTGGATGAGTCTTTGAAAGCACATGGCAGTGTTATGTTTCCCTAACAGATAGTTCAGCTTGCTAATATTAGGTGGTGGTGATAATTTTATTTTAGCTATTTAATCACTGGTAGTAAAATGAAATGTATGGAATTTAAAAATGGCTTATTAATTAATTGCATTGGTTTCTTCTGTGTTATTTTATTTTTAGATCAGTCGTATTGTCATCGGCTGCAGTATGACATGTATTTCCTTACAAGCACTAGCCGACTGAATGAGCAAGTGGTTGATAAAATAGTTCTTCAGCTCAACAGAGTCTATCCCCAAATTCTTACCAATGAAGAAGCAGAAAAGGTAATTTGAGGAGTTTTGCTGTGTCTCTGACTGCTGTATTGCTTCTGCGGGTCACTACCCCAGCTGCCCTCTTCCTGACACAACTCTTGGTGCCACATGCAGCCAGCCTGCCTCACCTCCTGCTTGCTGACCACTTATGTCTGGCATCTCATGTAAGAGGAGCAGTCACAGGGCTGGCATGTTCCCTGTGCCAAGTGGTCATGGGAGAGAATGCTCTCTTCAGCAGCAGTTTAATGCCACGGTCCCTGCCATGATCAGGGGCACAGAGTCACGCAGCCAGTCCTTGGGCAGGAGGGCACCCATCCTGTGACCACATGCCTGACATGCCTGTCTCCTCCCACGAGGTGCTGTGGAGTGGCACACAAGATGATCTGTGCTGCATCCATCTCTGCCCACAAAATCATCTATATTAGCTCAATCAGTTTTGGTAACGAATTAATAATTTTAAGTATTGGTAGAGAAGTGGGGGGTTTTAGTCCCATTAGTAAGTGTGGACCTGTGGGAAGTGGGTGGAGTTAATAATATCTTGCAGTGGTGCCACCATGTATGGAGGAAGGCCACCCTCCCTGATGTGAAACTTTCAAAAATGAGTAGCTCTTTCTAGGGAGAAAAAGCTTCTAATCTTGTGTGGAGACAAAATTAAAGTCAGCTAAGAGCTTCCACAATACTACTTACAATAGTTTGTACTTACCCTCTGCTGGCTTCATGTCTGCAAAGAGTTTTGGTATATCAGTATTTGAACATGAGGAAAAATAGGTCCAATTCTATCAGAATCAAACTTCATGGAGACAAATAGTGTTTTGTGGTGTAGAGCAGAGCTAGATCATTTACTGAGCCAGTCTTGCCACTTCCCTCAAGAGTTTCAAAATAAACCCATAAAGAATCTGAAACATGATTTGTGACTTCTGCACTTAGGCAGAAATGAACTGCTTTTTAATAGATTCAGGCAAGTTTGTGTCAACTCTATTGAATGTTTAGGAAGCTTATAATCTCAGCTGTATCTGGAAGACCCTGTGGCAATTTTGTCAGAATAAGGAGTATTGTGTAAAATCTGTGGCATTCTTGTCCCCCTCAAGCAGCAATTGTTCCCAACTCAGTATGCCTCAAAGGTTTTCCACTGTGCTGCTATGAAATATGGTGTTTTGCTGAGAATGGCTTTGGATTTTTTTTGAAATAAACTGAGAATGGTTTGAAGTGTAAAGCTAGAGATGCGTTTTCCTTCTCTTTGTAAGGTCTGCTAATACTCATCACATTTAGCACTACAGAAAAAATGTATTTCCCACTGCAACTGTTTGCCAACCTGAGTAATGGGAATTTGTGCCTGTCGAAGTGGGTGTACAGCAGTTAATTGGCTGGAAATAATAAAAAACCATGAAATATGAAATCTTGGGATGATGAACACTCCAGTACTGGGACTAGGATAAGCAGTATAAAGTGCCTTTTAGGGGATCCTTACTAGGCAGCTAAGGGCAAACTTGAAAAAATCAAACTTTATTTCAAATTATAAGATTTGCTGAAATATTCTATCTACAGCTGCCAGAATTAAACTGTACAATAGCAAGTACCATCGCAGCTTGGATGCAGGGAAGATGTCAAATGCAGAGTGTCTTTCACTTGATTGGGACAGAAAAAAGGAGGAGAGGCAGAGACAATATGCTCTTCCTCAGACTCTGCTGACCACATGGAGCTCAGGGCTGTGCACTGCATGTATGTCCTTTTTAGGTTTCCCTTTTTGGCCCATTCTTTTAGTAAATATCAAAGAAGCTCTATAAAGAAGCTACATAACTGGCATAGTGATGTAAGATTGATATTTTAATCTGTCTTCTGTTTTAATCTCTTGTCTGATGAGCACTTTTCTCTTGCAGTTCAGGAACCCAAAGGCATCACTCCATACCAGGCTTTCAGATCTGTTAAAACACCTCCAAAAGAAAGGAGACAGACACTGTCAGGAGTTTTACAGGGCTCTGCAGATCAATGCTGAACAGCTGTATAATGACCTGCCAAGCAGGAAAATCTTGAGTAAGTTGACTTGTAAGTTGATTGAGTTGTGGATTTCCTCACCAGTGTATTACAAAACCTAATTTCAGATGTAGTGTAGGCCATTTAAACAACCTAAACAGATTATAAATAATACAAATAAAGAAGTTACTTAAATAATTTTTGGGGTGTACCTTAATTCCTTCTGACTTGAGTTTTCCAAAAGCTGTAAGGGGATTTTGTAATGTAAAATTGTAATTTCCTTCATTTTGTCTTTCATTTTGAAAGAAGTAATTTGTATCTACCCTGCACAAACTGGTGGAGGACCATTTTCTTGCCTGCATGGGGAGGCTGCAGAGTTACCCCACATCCATACCTGAACCCTTTT